GAAGCCACCTTGCTCCCTTAGTGTGTACAAAGCTCAATGCTAAGTTCTATGGCTACAAAGAAGATGTATGACATGTACATGGATTACGATAGAGCACAGTAACTAGGATGACCAGGAAAAGTCTAATGTGGGATCTCAGGGACATAGATTTAGGGCTGGAAGGGATCTGAGAGCCCACATAATCCAACCCTCATTTTAAAGGACGTGAAGATGAGATACATAGCTTGACAACTCATGGGATGGCATAAAAATTGAAGATGGATTGCATGGTTTAGGGGAATTATAAGCCAATTGGCATGGAATATAGAGTACATGATGGGAAGTTGGATGAAATAAATCTGGAATGGTAGGTTGGAGCTGTGTTATGGAGAGTTTTAAATGTCATGCTGAGGAAATTCCCATCTATAAAATTAGAAGAGTTGGACTAGATCAGGAGTTCTTAAGCTTTTTAGCATAATGGATCCCTTTAGCATTCTGATAAAGCCTATTGGACCCAGATCATTCCAGGAACAGGGGTCAGCAAGTGAAAATGCTTGGAATCTAGAGATGGAGTGCCTTGTGTGAGGAAAAGAAAGGAGGCTAGGGCCACTGGGTTGCTGAGTATGTAGAAGTTTGTCTGATACAAAAGACAATAGGGAACTAGAATTTACTAAGTTTAGGGGAGTGACAGACTTATGCTTTAGAAAAATCATTTTGGGGGAGCCAAGATGGTGGAGAAAAGACAGGGATTCACCTGAGCTCTCCCAGATTCCCCTCTGAATAACTTTGTAAGTAACACCTAAAAATTCTGAAATGTAGAACCCACAAAAGGACAAGGTGAAACAATTTTCTGACCCAAGACAACTTAGAATATCAGACAGGAAGGGTCTCACCAAGGTGAGAGTGGAGCTCAGCCTGCACCAGTGAAGGCAACTGGACTTGGGGGCAACTGAATCAGCTATGGCAGCAGCAACTTCTGGAGCTTTTAGCCCAGATGGTAAGGGGATTAAACAACTGGTCAGAGGGAGATTATAGGGGTCTCTTTGTTGCCACTGGGTGCAGGACTCTGTAGCATTCCCCATCCCATGGGTCTGAGTCACAGTTCTGGGTCACAGTCTCCCAGGTTGATGAGGATGCACACCAGAGCTTGTGGCCACAAGGGAGCCAGGACCCTGATCACAGTTCCAGGTGGAAAAAGAGCTTGTCATTACTCACAGACTGGAGCACAGGCTAGGAGAGTAGTGATCATACCTCTCAGATCATACCACCTTGGAAGAAATGAAAACTTATAGATTCCCAGAACTAGCTTTGAAAGCAGTAGCAGGACAGGATTGAAACTTGGGACAATGTCCTCTCTTCCTCCCAAAGCAGAGTCCTGCTTTAACATAGAGTTAAAAGTCAAGAAATAGGCTGGGAAAATGAGCAAACAACAAAAAAGAAATCTAAACATAGAAAATTAATATGATGACAGGGAAGATCAAAACACAAACTCAGAAGAAGAAAACAAAATCAAAATTGCAATATCCAAAGCCTCAAAGAAAAATTGTAAATTGGGCTCAGGCCCAAAAAGAATTCCTAGAGAAGAGCTCAAAAAGAGATTTTAAAAATCAAATAAGAGAGATAGAGGAAAAATTGGGAAAAGAAATGAGCAAGGAAATCATGAAAAAAGTCAACAGCTTGGTAAAAGAGGCATGCACGCACACACACACCCTGAAAAAAAAATAACACCTTAAAAAATAGAATAGGCCAAATGGTAAAAGAGGCTCAAAAATCTACTGAAGAGAAGAACTTAAAAAGCAGAATTTTTTTGGTCTGTGTTTGTCTTTCACAACATGACTAATATGGAAGTATATGTTTTGCGTGACTGAACATGTGTGAACTATATCAGATTCCCTGCCTTCTTAATGAGGGGGGAGGGGAAAAGAGAGAGGATTTGGAACTCAGAATTAAAAAAAAATGTTAAAAATTGTTTTTACATGTAATTAATTGGGGAAAAATAAAATACTAAATAAATATTATTTTAAAAAAAGGAAAATCATTTTGGTTGATGTGCAGTGAATGGATTAGACTGAAGAGAAACTTTAGGCAGTGAGTCCAGTTAGGAGGTTGTTGCAATGATTTAAGCCAGATGTAATGAAGGCCTGAACTAAGGTGCTGGTGGTGTATATAGTTAAGGAATTGAAAGTAAGAGATAATGTGGAAGTAGAAGCAAGATTTGACAATTGATTGGGTATATGTGGTAAGGAAGTATGAAAAGTACAGGGTGACACTGAGCTTTTGAAGTGGGTTGATTGTAAGGATGGCTTCCTTTACCTTTTTAAAATTCAACTTTAGCAGCAGTATTTATTGTTCTGTATAATTGCATTTATCTACTAAACTTTTCCTTTAATGCCTCATCATGAAGTGGAGGTAGCCCTGGATTATCAAAGTTTGTAACAATGAAGTACAAGATTTGGCAGGTCCTACCAAATTCAAGGCTTCTACTAAGAGCCTAGTTACAGACCGTATCCAGGGGAGTGCAACCTGTGGCCTCAAGGTCCTCAAGTGCGGCCCTTTGACTGAATCCAAACTTCACAGAACAAATTCTTAAGGGTTAAAGGTTTTAAAAATATGCCATTTATCTGGAGATCAGCTTAACTTAGTTTGGAAAGGCTCGACATGAGGTTGGTCACAGGATGATAAAATTTTTGGCCATAGAAACTCTTAAGTCTATTTGCTAATTTGTAAAGAAATTGTAGTCTGTCGTTGGAGGGAGTATCCATTCATGTACATCATACATTCTTGAGGAGGTATCTGAGGGTGTAAACAAAGAGTCAGGGTGCCACACAAAGCCCCTGGCCTTGCACAGACTGGATCTGACCCTGGGGGCTGACTCCAAGAGAGTAATTTTTTTTCTCTTAGTTTTATTGGTCTCATTTGGAATTGCAGGAAAATTTCCTAATGTACCTGTGGCATATATCTGTTGTCTAGGTATCTAAGAGGTCCATACTTCAAGGTATTAAACGTGTGTATGTGTGTGTGTGTGTGTGCATCTTTTTCTCTGTCGGTTTATCTTTAGAAAGAACACAAGAACAAATCCAGGTGCTTATTCTCATGATATTGCCCAGGCTTCCTGGACTGGGAAGACTACTGATTCCAGGATTCCTCAGGGACTTTACCTTTCCTGGATGGCACCCATTCCTTGTGAGACCTGTATAAATAATTAGTTATCCATTATATTTTGCACATATATACATGTTATCTCCCCATTTGGAATGTAAGTCTTTCTATTCCCACCTTCCAGCATAGCACATAGCACATAATAGATGCTTAAGAAGCCCTTCAGTCTGTCTTGGTTGAGAACAGCCTTCAGAAGCACCAAGAAAAATACTCAGTGGAATGGTTCATTCATGTCAGAATTAGAGAGACAAAGTAGTCTATCCTTGTCAGAGGCAACAGTTGGCAGAATTTAGGTGATCATAGGACTTAGAGTTTAAAGGGACTTTAATCATCTATGATAAGCCTTTCATTTACAAATGAGAAACTGAGGCCCAGATTTATTAAGTGACTTGTTCGTTTACACAAAATAGTTAAGAGGCAAAGATGGGATTTGAAACCAGCATTTCTGACCCTAAATCTAATGTTCTTTCCAGGATAGCACACTCTTTTATATAGATAAATTTATTTATTAATTTATTTATTTTTAGTTTTCAGCATTCACTTCTACAAGATTTTGAGTTCTAAATTTCCTCCCCATCTTGCTCCTAACCCCACCTCAAGATGGCGTGCATTCTGAATACCCCTTCCCCTAATCTGCTCTCCCTTCTATCACTTCCCCCCCCCCCCCCCCCTTTTCTTAACCTCTTCCCCTTCTATTTTCCTCTGGGGCAGGATAGATTTCTATACTCCATTGCCTGTATATCTTATTTCCCAGTTGCATGTAAAAACAATTTTTAACATTTGTTTTTAAAACTTTGGGTTCCAAGTTCTCTCCCTTCCTCCCTCCTCACCCACCCTCATTGAGAAAGCAAGCAACTTGATACAGGTTATACATGTGTAGTCATGCAAAACACTTCCGTAGTAGTCATGTTGTAAAAAACTATTTCCCTTCATCCTATCCTGCCCCCCCCATTTATTCTATTCTCTCTTTTGACTCTGTCCCTCCTCAGAAGTATTTGCTTCTGATTACCCCCTCCCTCAATCTGCCCTCCATTCTACATCCCACTCCCCCCACCCCACCTCTCTTAGCCCCTTGCCCATATTTTCCTGTAGGGTAAGATAGATACAATTGAGTGTGCATGTTAATCCCTCCTTAAGCCAAATCCGATGAGAATACCATTCACTCATTCCTTCTTACCTTCCCCCACTTCCCCTCCACTGTAAAAGCTTTTTCTTGTCTGTTTTATGTGAGATAATTTACCCCATTCTACCTCTCCCTTTCTCCCTCTGCCAGTATAATCTTCTCTCTTAATTTTATTTTTGTATATGTTTATACAAAGCATATGTTTTGTATATATGTATACATATATTTTGTGTATATATATATATATGTATTTTTTTTTTCCCCTCCAACTACCCTAATACTGACAAAGGTCTCATGAGTTACAAATACCGTCTTTCCATGTAGGAATGTAAACAGTTCAACTTTATTAAGTCTCTTGTTATTTCTCTTTCCTGTTTACCTCTTCATGTTCCACTTGAGTCTTGTATTTGAAAGTCAAATTTTCTGTTCAGTTCTGGTCTTTTCATCAAGAATGCTTAAAAGTCCTATGTTTCACTGAATGTTCATTTTTTTCCCCTGAAGGATCATACTCAGTTTTGCTGGGTTGGTTGTAATCCTTTGACCTCCAGAGTATTATATTCCAAGCCCTCTGGTTCCTTAATGTGGAAGCTGCTAAATCCTGTTTTATCCTGATTGTGTTTCCACAATACTTGAATTGTTTCTTTCTGGCTGCTTGCAATATTTTCTCCTTGACCTGGGAATTCTGGAATTTGGCTATAATATTCCTAGGAGTTTTTGGGGATCTCTTTCAGGAGGTGATAAAAATATGGAATACTTCACAAATTTGCATGTCATCATTGGGCAAGGGCCATGCTAATCTTCTCTGTATCGTTACAATTTTAGCACATGTGCTGCTTGAAGCAACTACCAGGATAAGTTTAGTAAAAGCCTAGTAGTCTTCAAGCAGTCTAATTTGGCTACTTGCCCATTGTGTGTCCTTTGGGGTTAATAAGAATTTTTTTGTGGCTTGTCTCTTGAATTGATAGTCGTGCTATATTGTGATTTATTGCAGCCACAGGGTGAGTTCAGCCTTCCCACAGACAAACCTTGTTTCTTCTTTCTGATAAAGATGGGTAGTTCTCCTCAATTTATGATTCATGGAAATGGAGCTCCTTTATAATAGTTTTGGTTTATTTTAAACACTAGATGCTTAGTGGTTGTACTCATACTTGGTGTTAAGAAAGACCTGGCTTTGAATCACAGCTCTTTGAATCACTAGCTATGTGACCTTTGACTAGTTACTTGATGAACCTAATGAATTAATCTATAAAACATTGATGATGATACTTAGGATCATTTAAAGCTGAAAGGAATATTAGAGGACATTGAGTCCAACCTTTTCATTTTAAAGGTGAGGAAACCGGGACCTAGAACAATAAATGAAACAACTTGCCAAAGGTCACACAGTTAGTAAGTGGCAGGACCACGATTTAAATTCAGGGCAGTGAGCTGTGTGACCCTGAACGAGTCACCTGTTAGCTATTATTATTTTTTTCAGCAGATACCATGTTGCCTATCACAGGATTATTGTGAGAAAAGAAAGTGCTTTTTAAGCTAACTTAAAGTGCTATATAAATGTGAACTATTATTATTATTGATTGTGAAGACTGGATGTCCTGGATATAGAAGGGTTTAGAATGGCGAAAATTAGTCTCCTTCTTTGGAATTAATTCATGTCTAATGCATGCTAGATAGATGCTGAAAGGCCTTATTTATTTGAATGAGGACCATCCTTAAGATACGTAGGAGTATCCCTTCATTGGTAGAATCACTGGGAGCTCTCTCCTCTCTTCATCATTGTTCTCTCATTCTTCCTTCTATATCCCATTTTTTTGCTTCCACATTTTTCTCGTTTTTTTTTTCCCCTCCTCACATTTTTTATTTTTTTCTTTGCTCTCTCCCATGGTGACCTCATCCATTCCCTTAGGTTCAAAGATCACTTCTGAAAATGATCTTTAAATCTACATCTCCAACTCTTCTGAACTACAGACCCTGCTGGTTCGAAGTAATGTCTTGCTTATTCTAAAAGTATTTCAGCAGGTTTTCAACCTGTGTTTGTGTGCTCTGCCTCCCCCTTTTCAGCCCTGGTTGCACTTTAACTCTTACTCATACCTGGAATCACTAGTGGGTCATGGTGAGGAAGTTGTTATTCCTTACTCCCCATTGCTAAATCCAAACTTCCCTAACCATCACACAGTAATCTCTCCTCTTTTGAGGTTCATACCATCTATATCACCCAATGAAGGTTCTGATAGCTTTTTTTCTACCACCTTCTAGGACATTCTTCTTCTTTCCTCAATGAGTTTAATGGTTCACAGTCTTTCTCTTTTTCATAATTCTTGCCCTCATGCTAGGTAATTTCAATGTACATATTGATAATCTTTCAAACACCCTAACTTTCCTGTTCCTCAACTTAGTCATTTCTATTCCTCCACTGCATTTTACCAGCCACAGAGATGGCCATACCTTTGATCTTGCTGTCACTCACAAATATTCCACTTCCGTGTTATGATTTCTGAATTTCTTTATTTGACCATACTCTATTATTCTCCCTCTCCCTCTGTCCTGTAATCCCAAACCATATTTTTCATTCTCACCATGGGAGTAGATTGTAACTTATTTGTATCTTCTTATCCTGTATGATTTTTGTCCTTATCCTTGTGATTCTTGTGCATTTTTCTGGTAGATATTCCATGAAGTATCTGCCCAATCTTCTGGAAGCCTTTATGTAGGCCTTTTTACATTTATTGGTACCAGTGCAGCTCTTTCTTATTCTCTTTTGCTTCAACCTACTTGCATTTAACATACATCTCTCCGTTGACCTTTGAGTCACTCACAACATTCGTTCTTTTGAGATTTTGATTTTTCTTTATTTGCAACTATAGTTTCACTGGATAACATTTGTGTTAACAAGACAGGGTTTTGAGACTAGGGGTTATTAAGAATACTGCCTAGTTTCCCAGACATAGTCCATGCTTGACCAGATTCCATTTAGTTTTGCCCATGTTTATCTGAGGACCTTTGCTCATTAACTATCTAGATTGCTTTACAATTAAGATGGATTCTATTTAAATCTATCCTAATTAGGATATCCTAACTCTAATTAGGAAAGTTCACTTTAATAATTTTGTTTCTATAGGTGCCTGCTATAAATTTAACATGTAATACCTTCATAACTGAGAGACAAATGGTAGATTCTATTTTTAGTATAATATGGCACTTTAAATTTTGCAACACCCTTGATAGACATTGTTACATTTTACCATTCTACATTAATGAAGTGATGCACAATAATTTTTCAGACTAATTTTTTAGCTCTCAGAAAAAAAAGTGATTTGATTATTTTATTTATGGAAGCATCTTCACAAAATGTACTATATATGAATTTATAGAAAAATCATGACTTAATTTTAGGAAATAAAAAAAAAACTCCATTAGGACAATTATCACCAAAATCTCAGACATTTCAATTATTTTATTTAGCTAAACAATGCATATATTGTATTTTTCCCAATAAATTCCTGTTATTATTACCATCAAGGCAATATGTATTCAACTACTTCTGCTAATGCTAAAGTTGCTTTTCTTAAAAAAAAATAGGTCTCAAAGCTTAGAATTTTTAGTTATTTAGTAAAGTTTTACCTTTTTTTGTTTATTTGTAGCCTGTGAAAGAACATTGACCTTTCTTGCTTCTTTTCTGTCCTCACATTATTTTTTTAAATTTAGATAGAATTAGTCCAAATAAGGAAAGCAATTTCCCCTTCTGGCTGTAAGGAAAAGAAGCAGTAGTTATTAAAACATGTCCTATCACTTGTGTAAGGCTTAAGTAACTTCAGCTGCTTTGACCTTATTTAAAACTTTTGAATCAGCAAACAGATTTCCTGAATGATTCACTTTCATCCCTGCACTTTATTAAAGTACATAATTATGGAGGAATGGTTTTTACATGCCCAGGGTCTTAACCAAACTTATCTTAGCATTGAGATATAACCTTACTATTAGGACTTAAGTAAATTCCTTGGGAGTACACATTCCCTCTCTCTCTCTCTCTCTCTCTCACTCTCTCTCTCTCCCCCCCCCCCTCCCCCTCTCCCCTCCCTTTCTCTCTCTCCTACAGCAGGGACAATTTCATTTTCTTCTTTGTATCCCCAGTGCCTGGCACATGGTAGGCACTTAATAAATGTTTACTGATTTGTTAAGACAGTAGATTGCCTTTTGTAGCCTAGTTCTAAAACTTTTCTAAAGACTCACATATTAAAATGTATTATCTGAAATGTTACATGATTAGAAATAATGAGATTTCTTTCATGATTAACACTATCTGTATATAACACACACATAGTTTTTAAAAACTTCTTCTACTTGTATCCTTTTTTGGATGCCTTATCCTGTTTGTTGGAGAGAACCTAGTTATGCGATCAGAATGCAGACTCCAGCTTTATCCTCTCAAGCTAGAAAGACTTAAAGTAGACTTAAAGATTTGAATATTTTTCCTCCAAGGACCAACCTAGCTAAGTTTGAAGAGACTTATCACCAAAAGTTTGGAAGCCAGGTGATTTTTTAAATTTTATTTTTCTTGCTGTAGTAACCCATGAAGATCAAGAGAGCTTGTAATTATCCCTGCACTGGTGAAATCACAAATACTTGAAGTAATGAAGCACATACCAATATTATGATGATTGTTACGGAGAGTTTCACATGAAACTTTTTGATATTAAAGAGGAGTTCTGATACTTGGAAAGGTTTTAAATTGTTTTGAATGTAGTCAATAATATGTTATCTGCAGTAGAAATTATCTTATTATCTCATTATTTTTGTTTTACAAAGTATTTCTTTGCCTAGCATTATTATGTATAATTTAAATTCTAAAGAGTTGGTTGTTTGGTTGTTAAGTATTTCTTTGTTGACTAAAACTGGAAGCCTTTGGCAACCCATTCTCTTACTGACCACTTGCCAAAACCAACAGCGTGTCATAATTTCATTGCTGTTATAAGGGTTTGAAATCAATTTGAGTCACTGATATCTGTTCTGAATATAGGCTATTTGTTACTTAAATTCGCTGAACAGCCTCAAGTAGATAAAACCTTCAAAGAGTTCTCTCATTTAAATATTTGAGATATATCTTTTACTAGACCATTCCCCCATGAATTGTCAAAGTATATTATCAGAGTCAGATAGAAATCTTTTCTTGTTGCCAGACTGGATTTAGATCCTGCCAATCTTGCAAATTCATCACTTGTAAAAGAAAGTGTTTACCACCAGATGTCTGTAAGAATGCCATTTGTTGAATTTTAATTAGATCATCTGTTATTCTGAATTTTCTAGGGCCCCTTTCAATCTTCATTTGGTCTCTTGTTTGAATTACTGGTCTTGTAAATGTTGGTGCCATTAAAGGAATGCTTTGATTTTTTTTTTCCATCTCATTAAAAACAACCTATTCCAGGCTTTTACTCCTTTTTGCTGTTAGCCATATCTGCTACAGTGATTCTGAATGTATTTAAGACATAATCTGTGAACATTTTTAGTTCCAAAATTATGTGATTATTTGATGATTGTTTTATTGTGGTATAGATTGCTGACTAGAAAGGGGAAAGAAGTGAGGATGAGTAAAGGGAAAAAATATTCTATTTCAGATAGATACAAAGGAGATCTTGCCTACTCTGCCAAAGGGAAGCAGAAGTCTTCCCATAACTCCTGTCATACTATGCCCTTTTCTTAACAAAGACTATTGTTGATTAATTGATTGAGAGAGACCAGGAAAATGTCTGTTTCCAGAACAAGTGGGAGGCTATTACAACATTCTAGGTGAGAGGTAATGAGATTTTTGAACTTAGGTGGTAGCTATATGAGTGAAAGTGAGGTAG